CCTAAATGATTCATAGAGAAAAGAAAAAATATAAATTTTAATATGCAAATTTAGAAACTTCATTTATGATCATAAATAAGCTTTTAAATAATAGTATATAAAGGTTAATGATATTATTTTTTTTAGATTTAAAAAAAATACTATATGTTGATAATATTTTACTTTTTAATAGTAATATTAGTTTGTTATATGAAAATAAAAAAAAATTTATCAAAAATTTTAAGATGATTAATATGATTGAGACAACTTATCTTATCCACATAAAGGTATTTAAAGATACATCTCAATAATGATTAAAATTATCTTTGAAAGAAATTATTAATTGAGTCTGCGAAAGATCTAATATGTAATTTTGTTTAACAAACGACAAAGATATAAAATTTAATTAAAATTAATACTTTTAAAAATTAAATAAATAAATAAATAAATAAATAAATCCTCTTTATTATATACTCAAGCTAATGTCAGACCAAATATCAATCTTTCAATTGAAATATTAAAATTACCTAAATATAAAATAAAATTACTCCAAATAATATTTTTTTCGAAACCACTACTGCATTAGGATAAAAATAACTTTAGGGATGTAAAGTGGAGGCTCCAACTTCAATTAGGACTTGCCATGTCGACACTGCCATTGCCATCACTGCACTGCATGAGACAACCACTACAAAACTCTGTAAGACCTGCTACAGATGATTACAATCACCACAACAATGTTCTTCGTTTGACAATGGACAGGACCTCGCAATCCTTAGGACTCATCTCAATCACTCAGGCCACCATGGTACATGGAAAGGACAAAGGAAGAAGACCCACCCAGCTTGCAGCCAACCTTGAGGCTGCTTCACTTGAAGACACATACATGTCACTCATCCAGTAATCTACACTTTAAAGGGCAAATCACCTCTTATTCTTCACATCAAATGGTAAAACCCCACGAAGATTTCAACTCACACACAATCTTCTCTCTATATCCACACACACTGCTGCATGCACACATTAGGCAGCGCCTACCAAAGCCAGTAAAGATCTCTCTCTCTTGTTTATGTAGTTTTCGTTCTTGAATGACCAGAATTTGCTGCCTTTGT